CAGCGAGTCTGCGTGTTTTCCGTGTCCTCAACACAGGGCTCATTGAGCAGAAAATTTGTGAAGACGGTCCTGGTAATGTTGTTCTATCTTATACATGCGAGCCTCGTTCGTGGCGACAGTTGAATGTGAACTGTAGGTATTCGCAATCTTGATGGAGGAGAGTGTAACGATGGTGTGATCACACAATGGTGTGAGTTACACAATGGTGTGAGTTACACAATGATGTGAGTTACACAATAAGATGCGATCACACGATGGTGTGGCTACACTCAAACAAGAAGTCCAGTAGTTATACGCATAATTAGGTTTTACTATATATGAAGACCTATATATTTAGATATAGGCGGCTTGCGCAAATGAAGCCACGAAATACAGATTGCGTATTTAACGAAAGAGTCAACTAGCCTTGAATTAGAGTTGTAATAACTCTTGGAGTTAGTGGATTGCGATCCGCTACACTACTGGCTTTAAGTATAGAACGAAGGTCACCGACCTTAACCAAGCTTTCTCTAAGCGAAAGACCTCGCTGTGTTTAATGCCGATACTTGGTGCATATAAAAGGTGCAATGTGAATTTTGTAGTTCTGTACTTGGTGCAATCAAATGTACACAAGCGCACTTTGCACGTACTAAATTTCTCAAATTACTTTATTAAATTTCTCAAAGCTCTTAGAGAAAAAATACACGTATGTTAAAATAGTGAGCATTGGCGTTGTAAACATGTTTCTGGATTGAAATCAGTCCACACGTGTCATAACTAGCTTGTTCGTTCATCATACTGAACGCAATGACTGCTGATTCTAAAATATTAATCTTCGTTTGTATGTACTTCCATGACACTCACTACAAATCACTTCATTCAGACTTAACGAGCAGTTAGAGCTCGGCTGGACTCTTTCTCCCAATATTTTTCTTGTCTGGCTACAACGACAAAGCAACTAAAATGAAAATACTCTTACTTCTCATCGTTTTCTGCTTTAGTCTCCTCCATTCATAACCATGCAGTCCGTAGTGAAGTCAATGTTCTCTGTCCATTCAAACATCTTTAATTTCACGCTAAGCTCTGAAATTCGAAGAGATCGGACACAAATTTTCATGCTAGAATAACTTCTCTAGCCTGTTAATGATGAGTCACTGGGCTCGACCACTGGCGCCCGCGGATTTGCTAATGCCTTGGCACTTTGTAAGATATTAATCACTCTACTGTTTTCCCATGCATCATCACTCTCATGGACATGGTAGTAAGAACGCACACTACGTATGGTGGTGTGGCTGGCTTACTGCGATTGCCACAGGCTTTGGCGCTCTACCATTCTACTGGATACGAGATGTGGACAAGTTGTGCTCGGTATCTGCGATGGCTTGGCTGCTGGTATGATGATTGCAGCTACGGGCTGCTTACTCTATAAAGGATGGTATCTACCGCAAGCTATGGACTACTGGGCGTCAGTCTTCTCTTAGGCTCGTTTTTCGGTGTCCGATTTATCAAGTTTACAAAAGTGTTTTTAGAAGACTATGAGAATGTGTCAGTCTGCGGA